GGCAAGTCCTTACCTCTTTCTCTTCCTAACTTCCAAATGGCTGAGGTCCAGTGAGTGTGAGCAAGCCCTCTCCTCTATGCCAGCCAAGAAGTAATTTTTTTCTGACCTTTGTTCCTGAATTTTCTTGACCTGCATCTGCATTGGCCACTTGGCAACACATTGCTGAGAGTGGAGGAGTGTGGCAGGGTGAGGTGGTCGTGCCACCAGGCTGAAAGCCAGCTATTGGACCAGCAGAATTCCTAGACGTGGGAGAACTTGCCAAAGAGTGCTCTGATTTCTTAAAGTTGTATCTTGGTTTATTTCTATAAAAATGGTGGAACCAAAATAACAAGTCAGGTACTTGAGGATATGCTGTGGGTCTGGTGACTTGGAGTTACAAACAAGTGTCCAGCACGGGGTATGCACTGTGTTAAGAAGTTCAGAGGCAATGGAGAAGCAAGAATAAACAAGTTTGGGGAAGGATTCCTGATTTCCAGTGGGGCAACTGGCAGATGTTTCTTTTTGTCAGTGCAGTGACATTGGTGTTTAGTCTGAAAAGACGTATCATAACTTGTGTTAAACTTTTGTGATCAAGTGCAAGGGTGGTTCTACAGAACAGGAGATGCATTGTGAAGCATTAGCAAATTTTGTTCTGGAGCATGATCTAAACCCTCAGCAAAGAGAGAATGGACCCTCATCACATTAACTTGACAGGAATCCTTCCATTTCCGTCACTGTCATCTTCTCCTGTTGGTAATTTCAGTTGCATGCAGGCTTCTACTGGAGATGATCACACTACGTATTCTCCTAGGATAAACATCCTAGCTGCTGGGTTTCAGATCACTTTTATATGGGCTGGAGCTGCGCCGTTGCCAGACCAACCAAGTGGGAAAGCTGGCCTCGCTCCATATAAACAGCCCGGGCTAAGCAAGCCACACTAAATTTGGAAAAGAATTAGGGGAACTCATTTTTCAACTGCCCTGGGGTATTTTATCTCCAGTTGCCCTATGTTATCATTTCATGGGAACAGTTTCTATTATTCATGACTGTTTTCATCATGTTTATTTTCAGATAATGTATTTTTATCTTCTGTAAACCAAAAGAGTTTAAAGATCCATCAACAATGGCTCAGGGGTCCATCCGCTTCTCTTCCCACCTGCAGGTAGAGCTGCAATTCCTGTTGAGCCAAGTGCTGCAAGGCCACGTCCTTGGGTGGTGCTACAAAAAAATCCCATCAAAAAACTTTTCCTCCAATTTGAAGACGGGGGTAGTATTTTGAACACAGAGATCCTTTGCAGCAAGTAGTGCAAAGACTGGAATAAGCAGCTTGAAACATTTGCTTCTCAATTCATGTTCTGGCTGATTTATAGTCTGCACATAAGAATTACGTAGATGCCGTATTTCTCACACATATGTAATGAATTGCAGAGTTCCTTTCTCTTTGGTCATTGTACTTGAAGCTGATCTAAGAAATGCTGACAGTGAAGGATCACACTTCTGAGCTGATCTAGCCATAATTGAAAATCTTTGCCAAAATTGCAGGTACTTCCTGCGATTGTTGGGGTTTTCTTCCCAACACCAGAATTTTGTTTTGTCCCACTTCCTCTACAGATTTTTACTGCAGGATGCAGGCAGCAGTCAAGTGAGGTCCAATGTCCCAGAGCCCTCTGTAACAGATTCAGAAGCCACTGCAAGCTGGAAAAGAAAAAGCTGTGGTGGAAAATAGGGGCAAACCCTGAGCAGGAAACTCCACTGGGGCTGGGGCCAACAACATCCTACTGCTGGCTGGGACCAGAAGGAAAAAAACAAAACTATAAAGTAGGATTTGGGAAGCTTTGTCCTTATTTGGGGAATAAATTTATGTTTCTGCCCAAGGCAGGCTACTTTTTAAAAGGCTGCCTGATGGGCAGGGATTTTTCTGCTTCAGCAGCACCCGTATCCTGCTGTTAGACACAAGTAAATCCTATAATTGGTATGTCTCAAAAAAATCAGATCTCTTAAAACTTGAGGGTTGGAGTCCAGATTGTCACCTCGTGCTGTCCCGCCACTGAATCTCTGAAAAACTTAACCTGTCCTCCTGACACCCCTCCAGCTTTGTGTAATGACTCTGCAGACATGGTAGTTGGCTGAGCCACATTCTGTGCACCCAGGCAGGGCTTGAAGGGGCAGCAGGTTTGTAACCCAGCAGTGGTGTGTGCTTGGGGTAGGAGTGGGGCAGAAGGGCCTTGCACTTTAGTTGAATTCAGGGATCCTGTTGATCACAGAATCCCAGAATCCCAGCATGGTAGAGGTTGGAAGGGACCTCTGAAGATATCATGTTCCAACTCATCTGCTATAGGAGGGTCACCTAGAGCAGATTGCCCAGGATCATGTCCAGATGGGCTTTGAAAGTCTCCAGAGAAAAAGACTCCACAACCTGTCTGGAGAGCACGTTCCAGAGCTCTGGCACACTCACAGTAAAGAAGTTTTTCCTCATGTTCACACAGAAACTCCTGGGTTCCACTTTATGGCTGTTGCACCTTGTCCTGTTGCTGGGCACCACTGAAAAGAGTCTGGTCCCATCCTCGTGACCCCCACCCTTTAGATCTTGAGAAGCACTGATAAGATCCCCTCTGAGTCTTCTCCAGCCTAAATGGTGCCAGAGCTCTCATCTTTACAATTTGACAGAGATGCTCCAGTCCCCTCAGCATCTCTGTAGTCTCTGCTGGGCTGTCTCCCATTGTTCCTTGTCATTCTTGAACTGGGGAGCCCAGAACTGGACCGAATACTCCAGATGTGGCCTCACTAGGGCAGAGCTGAGGGGGAGGAGAACCCCTCTCAACCTGCTGCCCACACTCTTCTTCATGCACCCCAGGAGACCATTGATGCTTAAGAGAGAGAAGGCTCCAGCTGACTTCTCTGAGTGGGTTAGATGGGAGTAGCTAGCTTGAAAGGTGATGTCAATATTGTCCCTAAACTTGAGAGGTGTGTCAAATTCTGTGCATCAAACTGGAAATAAAATTGCCCAAGCAGAGGAGCTGACTGACATGCAGCTTTTTATTTTGTACACATGTCCAAGTAACTACAGTGATATAAATGGATTATCAGGAAGCTGTGGAGTAATTATATAGTGTAGATATCTGAACTGATGAAGTTGCCTCCAATAGCCTGGTATTGTCTCATATTTGGAGCAAATCAGAGCTGGACTGAAAATAAGTACTTTACAAGACCTTCTGTCTGTCTCTGCGAACCCCTTAGCAAACTAGCTGTTTCCCCATGGAAGTCTCAGCCACACCTATTTGAGTTTTTTAAATGAAAATACAGTAGCTAGACATGGTAAGTCTTGGACCATACTGTCTTCTATACTTTCTCCCATGAAATCCCATGCACTTTCTCTCATAATGATCCACAGCTTGCCTCTTTCTTTAACCACATTTGAAATTATTTGAGATTAAAAAAGGCACAGACATTCTGGGAACAGCACTGATGCTTGAACCCCATTTTTTTTGGTGATAAACAGCAATAAAATCAGTAATAATCTAGGAAGTTTTGTGTGGTTACTGTAGAAGGATAACGGTTATATGCTGAAAACAGCAAATCTGTCAAGACCTTCCTCTGATTTCATCATAGCTGCTGCAGACCCACAGCCCATTGTATAAAATACAGAAACATCATGCAAACTCCTGGCGAATCCCTTTTGGTGATGGTGCTGGTGGGTCTGTCAATCTGGGAACATCAATGTAGGATGCAGGTGGTTCAGCTTTTCCAGGGCTCTGGAGGTCATGATGCTTCTTGCTGGTTCCACTGTTTGGCCCTTCAGGAGTGCTGAATGCCAGTCCTGGTTTAGGAGTCCATGCCTATGAAGGGTTCAAGACATCTCAGTTTAGGTACTACCATGTTTTTTGTCTTACACAGGAAATTTGGTATTTTTTCGCCAAGCAGAAGAAAATAAAATTTTAAAAGCATCAAAATGGCTTGAAGTGTGAAACTATGTTTCTCTGTTTTATGCTTAGAAAAAAACCTTTGTCATGGGGCTCCTTAAAAGAAGGAAGGAAAAGAATCTCTCCAGTATCCTGGACAGTTGGGATACTATAGGTCATAGTCCAGGTTTTGGTTTTTGGATTGCCACAGACTCTTTGAGTCACATAGAAGCACTTAGGTTGGAAGAGACCTTTAAGATCACTGAGTCCACTGCTAAGTCCACCACCCTCAGCACCACATCTGCAGCTTCTCAATCCCTCCATGGATGGGGACTCCACCACTTCCCTGGGCATCCTCTTCCAGGGCTTGACGGCCCTTTTGGGGAAAGAAGTTTTTATATGCCCATGGCTTTAGCTTTTAGCTTTTCTTCCCTGTCTGTAAAGCATTATTGTTTCTTTGATAGGCTTAATGAGTTAATTACTTGTAAATTGCTTTAGGATTCCCAGAAATGAGACTGCCAGTGTGTTTATTGCTGTTAATGCTACTGATGAGATCTTGATTGTGCCAAGACAATGCAAGGTTAGTGTTTATTGCAGGGTGACTGAGTGTCTATTTACATTAAAACAAAGAAGAGACTGCAGTGCCCCAGCCTAGAAAACACCCTTTAGTGGAGCTTTGAGTCAGCTTTAAAATCTTGCTAAGTGATAAAATGGACTAATATGGCTGAGCAGGAGCCAGTATCACTTGTCTATGCTTCTTGAAAATCTTATCACCTCTCCAACTCCACCTCACACCCCAACCTTCCCACCCCCCGCTCTGTGGCACTGTGTGCCAGTGACAGGCAAATAGCATCTTTTCTTTAAAAGTGGATTTGGGGTATGTTTTGCCCACTCTTAGAAGGAAGAGCAGCATCCAAAACCTAATGTTTTTCTAGAGGAATTCCCTCTGTGCTTGCTTGCCTCAACAGCTGAACACATCTCCGAGGGTTTCTGATGCGCTGTGCAGCACGCTTGGGCAGTATTTTGGGTTGCTGGTGATATGCTGGTCAATGTCCCGGTTCTGCATTACAGTTTCTGAGGTCACGTAGATTAAGTGCAAATAAACCTCTGTTTCTGCTTCAGGAAAAACAGAGGCCGTCATCAAAAACTTCAGCCCGCACTACAGGCGGCAGTACGCGGTGGCTTTCTGCAGGCACGTGCAGGAGGAGCTGGAGCAGCACCGGGATGCCCAGTCCCGCTTCCTGAAAACCAAGGTAGGAGGGCACGTGAACCCTTCCCATCCTCAGGCTGCCATACAGCTCTGCTCTCCTGCGTGGAATAATTAACACATTAGCTATTTAAATTGCACACTGAGTAGTCGTGAGGTATGAAAGACATGAGCTGGAAGGGCATCAGCCACCTCCTGAGCTTGGTCTTCTTGTTTTCCCCAGTGCTGAACGCCCTCAAGTGAAGTTAATAGGTGGTACATAAACTCATACTCAAAGCTTCTAAAACACAAAGTATTTTGAAAGTAATTTAAACGTTTCTTTATATACAAGCACAGGACAGAAGTGTTCTTTCAACTTCTTATATTGCGTATTTGAATATATAACAAATGTGTATCTAGGAGATTTTATGTGTCTTCTCTTAGGCATAACCCAAGGCTTGTGCACAAAAGATTTGCAAGTGCAGGTGTTGGATTTGGTTCAGTTAGGTTTTGAGTGGAAAAGTTGCATTTAGGTGTGGGTTTAAAGTTTGTTTTTGAAAATTCATCTTTGTTTTGGACTTAGAATCATAAGAATCATAGAATCATTTTGGTTGGAAGAGACTTTCAAGATCATCGAGTCCAACTGTTAACCCAGCACTGGCAGGTCACCACTAAACCATGTCCCTCAGCAACACATCCACATGGCTTTTCAGTCACTCCAGGAATGAGAACTCCAGCACTGCCCTGGGCAGCCTGGGCCAGGCCTTGACAACCCTTCTGGGGAAGACATTTTTCCTAATGTCCAGCCTAAACCTCTTCTGGTGCAACTTGAGGCTGTTTCCTCTGGTCCTATTACTTGCTCCCTTGGAGAAGAGGCTGATGCCCACCTCACTCCAGCTTCCTTTCAGGGAGTTGTAGAGCATGAGAAGGTCTCCCCTGAGATTCCTTTTCTCCAGGCTCAACAACCCCAGGTCCCTAAGCTGCTCGTCACAAGACTTGTGCTCTAGAGTCTTCACCACATTTGTTCCCTTTCTCTGGACATGCTTCAGCTCCTCAATGTCATTCTTGGAATGAGGGGCCAAAAACTGAACCCTGGATTCAAGGTGCAGTTTCATGGGGCTGACAATCACTGCACTAGTCCTGCTGGCCACCCTGTTTCTAATACAAGCCTGGAACCTGTGTGGTCATCTCATTGTAGCATGAGAGGAACCATGACACAGGTTTCTGGTGCAAAGTACATATTTTGTCAAAGTGTAGTTGGGCACCTGGACAAATCTAATTGCTTCCTTCTGGTCGTAAGACCTTGCAAGAATCTTGGGATAGAGCGCATACATTCAGGGCAGAAATTTATGTAGGAAAATTAATTAACCCTTTCTGCCATGGCTACAGGCTTCCATAAAGATGACAGCAATAATCCTCTCTGTTAAGTGAGCTGTGGAGAGCTGGCTTTTATTAGAGGAGGAGAGACAAAGAGGGAGACCAGCTTTGTATCAGAGGAGAATTCAGAGAATGAGCCTTCAGTATTAAGATACAAGTCTACATTTTTTGGCCATGTTGGAAATTGTAGGTTTCCGGGGCTGTTGAAATGAGAGGGGTAAAACAAGGAGGTGGAATGTAAAAGGGGGGATAACAGGAGAGCTGCATCTTTCAGAAAGATGCATTTCAGTTACAAGAGCACAGAGTCAAAAGTGTTACAAGGAAATGCAAAATCATTCACTATGTTATAATGAAACTCTGCTGCATCAAAGAAATGGTTTTAGTATGAAGTGGAGAATAGGAGATGATGAACTACCAGTCGTCTTGCAGTCAGCATGCTGACTGAAAGGTAAATGAGAATGTCTCTGTCACAGAAATCTGGAATTATTTTGGGAAGGCAGAGCTCTTCTGCTGCCTCCTCACCTCAAGCTGCAAGAATTTGATTGTGTATATAGCATCTGTCCAAATCAGAGAGATGTTTGTGAGCCCAAATTACATCTGGAGACTCAAAACCTCCCTGGCAGCCTTATAGAAATGTAGAAATAAAAGCTTCAAAATGGTCAGTAATCCAGAGTCATTTCCAATCTTGAAAATTGTCTTTATAGCCCCCGCTGGAAGCTGGGACAGTCTTATTTGAAGCAGAGCTGCTGCATTTTGCTGAGGATCTGAAGAAGTGGAAGGACAGATACGTCGTTATCAGAAATGACTACACTGTGGATTGCTTTGAGACTAAAGAGGTAAATGCTTCTTCCTCTTACATTATTCTGCACTCCCAAATAAAGTGATATCAAGTGCATTTGCTGCTGCTGCCTTTCTTTCAGCAATACTAGGTGAAACATTGTCCTTGACGAGGTGGGTCCAGCATTGTGGAGCTGGCTGGAAGGTTCATGAGGATGGTTGAGGGTACAACCAAGCACCTTGTGTTGGCCATATACATTTGCAAAAACTAGCAAATAATTTTAACAGTGCTGTGAACCTTCCTTTGTCTGTCACACAGCACTGCTATCTCTATAGTCATTGTATTAGGTCCCAGTGCTTCTGCAGTTGGATTTTAAGTAGCAGTTTTTGAGTGGCTTGAAGCTGACTACAGTGAAGTTTTTTGTCTGGCAGCTGCTCTAGTCAAGCTAGGCCTGGCTGACAAATCAAATAAATAGGGCTTAGAAGAAAATCCCATCCTGTTCGATCCCTTCTGTCTCTGACTCTTCACCATGGCTGATACAGCACCGAGAGGATATTTTTAATTATGTTTTTTACATTTAACCATGTTGTAGATTTTCTATATCTAGGAAATATATCCAAAATTTAGTCTGACAAAAAAAACTTGCCTTTGGGGAACATCCCTGTGCAATATCTTTGTCAATGAATTGTGTATTTTATGTTTTCCTTCCCCTTAAATCTCTGTTTGACTCCTGCTCTCTTGATCTTCCAGGCTTACCAGAAAGGAGCCAGTCCTAAATATCATGTTCTTCCTGCAGGAGGCAAAGTACTGACTTCAGAAGAAGATTACAATTTGCTGTCTGATAAACATTTTCCAGATCCTGTTGGTAAGCCCTGCTCAAAGCTGAACTGCCAAAGCCTAGGCTCGGTTCCTTGTGCAGACCTCTCCTGGGCAGGCTTTCAGGCTAGACTTTAAACTGGGGCAACAGAAGATGCATACAGCTCTTTTTCTGAGTCAAAGCACAGCTCCAGAGGGGATATTCACAGAAGATGCTGTACTCTAATGTTCAGAGAAATGCTGGCTCCCTTTTTTTTTCCAGCATCCCGGCACAAAGCTGCTGGAAGCTGTGCAGAAGCAGGGCAGGAACCACTCCACCATTGTTCCCAGTCTTTGTTAATATTCCTGGTTTATTTGTTTCCATTTTTAGATGCCAGCTGCCTGTGTTGACTCATGGTCGATAATAAGTCCCACAGAGAGGGCAGGAAGGTCACTACTGCTGAATTTGTTATTTCTAGGATAGGAACCACTGTGTTCCTGCCTACATCCACTAAGACTGGGAAAATTTGGGCTTTAAGGGAGCAGTTCTCACATTGCAGAGTTAGATTTGGAAAGTGGGATGCCACATAAGGTAAGGAATAAGGGCAACATGTAGACCAGGAGTTTCTTGGGAGTTTCTTGTAAGTCCTGCCTCGTGCCACTTAAAGTTATGATTGTTAGGAATTGTCCCCCTTCCAACCTTTCCCTGAGAAGCATGGGGCAGTGGTTCCTGGAGGTGTCCTCTGTGTGTCACCACAGCTCTGCAGGAGTTGAGACTGAGCGATGTGGAACAGTCCAAGACTGTGGGCTTCTCGTATCTCTCCCTTCACAAAAAGTGGCTCAGTTAGTCTTTTATGGCCCTTCTCCCCTCCTGTGTGATGCTGAAGACCCTCTAGGATGAACCTCTTGTGTCTGGGCTCCTGATGCATGCCACTGAGGCAAGATTGGGTTTGAACATCCATAAACAGTGTCGTGCAGCATTGTCTGGGCACAGGGACTCAGGGCAGGTGGAAACTGAATATACTTCATTCTCTCTTTGCTTCGCCTTCAAAGGCTTGAAGTGACGTTTCTTCAGGCCATCTTGCAGTTGCGTTTGGAGACCCTGGAGACAGGGAAACCGCTGTTGTTCCTACATAGTGTAATGCTGTTTGTTTCTATATGGAACACCATATGTGCCTATGTGGAGGAGACCAGAGCTGCCCACTAATGTACTTATTTGCCATTAAAACCTTTTCCTTAGCAGCTACAGTTTAGTGAAATAATTTGCTTGAAATTTTCCCAAAAATCTGCGGTTTATGGCCATCTTGAATACAAAACAAGAGGACAGAGGTTGCTATAGTATAACGTAGAGAGGTGGTTGGTGTCTGCTGACTTTGCCTGTCCTGGCTGTGTCCCCCTGCCCTCTGTGCCCAGTCACTTGGATCGAGAAGGAGACTTGATGTTTTTATGTCTCATGCTTCCCTGCTTGCAAAGGTCCGTTCTCTCTGCCAGCTCGCCCAGGAAATCCACAGTTTCCAGTGGAGATGTTTTTTTGTGCAGGATCAAGCGAGAAGGAGATGGCTCAAGCCTTCGTCCAGCTGCCCAAGGAGTTCCCGGTCTACCTGTGGCAGCCCTTCTCCCGGCACAGCTGCTACTGCTGCCCAGAGGCAGGAGCTCAGCGGCAGCTCAGCGCCGCGCTGCAGGACTGCGTGAGACACGCGAACCACGGTGAGTGCAGAAGGGCCTCTTCCCCTGTGGCCTTCACCCTGCTGAAGATTTAAATAGCTGTTACAGTAAAAGAACTGCAGGAAACTGCCAGCCACTTAGGAAAGGTGCTTGGCTCTGAGTGCTTTGATGAATTAAAATATCCTTTCTTTAACATATCCTTTCTTTAACATATCCTTTCTTTATCATATCCTTTCTTGTTAGTCATAGAATCATTTTGGTTGGGAGATGCACCACATCTACACAGCTTTTCAGTCCCTCCAGGGATGGGGATGCCACCACTGCCCTGGGAAAACTGGTCCAGGGCTTGAAGACCCTTTCTGTCAAGACACTCTTCCCAATATCCAGCTGAACCCTCCTGTGGTGCAATTTGAGGCCTTTTCCTCTTGTACTATCACTTGTTCCTTGGGAGAAGAGTCCAACCCTCACCTCACTCCAGCCTTCTTTCAGGGAGCTGTAGACAGCAAGAAGGTCTCTCCTGAGCCTCCGTTTCTCCAGGCTAAACAACCCCACTTCCCTCAGCTGCTCCTCGTACAACTTGTTCTCTAAGTACTTCACCAGCTTCGTTGTTCTCTGCACATGCTCCAGCCGTTCAATGTCCTTCTTGGAATGAGGAGCCCAAAACGGAACCCAGTATTCTTGCTTTGCTGGGAATAAAAGTGGGATTTGAGCTGCAGTATAGTAAGTTTGGGTAAAAAACATGAAAATTATGTTGAAAGTGATATTCCTGTCTGTTAGCTCATCTAAATTCAGTGTCGTGATACAGTATCATGAGAGAAGTTTACTAAATGTGGCATGGCAAATCCCCAGCTGTGTTTACAAGCTTGACAGTTTCCTAATATGTGCAGTTATTTGTGTGGTGCTTGGTGATGGTTCCTCTGAGGACATTCAGGATTCTCAGTCCCAATGCCGTGCAGGTGGTGTACGCTCCCCTGACACTCAGTGGTCCCCCTCTCCAGTTTGTTTCCATGCCGTGCTGAAGGTGATGAGACACAGTGTGCCCATCTAGCTCTGACAGCCTCATACAAACCAGAGGAAGCAGGTCCAATGCAAATCTGTGTAGGTGTGCAGAGGCTGAGGGCTAAACCGTCCTGTGGGAAAATACCCAGTCATGGGGACTATAAAGACTGTTTTATGGCTAGATTAACATAGGTTGGAGGAGTCAGTCTAGAAGGAACACAGCTTCACTTGGCACTTCTAAATAGCTTTAGTCTCAATGAATACTCTCACTGTAGCAGCTAGAAGAGCCTGAATTCCCATAGCACGCCTGAGGGCAAAGCCTACCCTGGGATTTTCAGTTCTGATTAGCCTGGGTTTAGCTGCAGTGGTCATACAGTATCAAAGTGCTCTGGGCTTTGGGAAGCCACCCCTGTGCTCCTCACCGAGGTTTGGTAAGGAGATGGGGATACAGTCAACTTTTCCTGGCACCATCAGTCCTCCATGACTTGAAGCCTGTTCAATAGGTTTGGGGGCTTTAATTTCTTTCTCTTGGAGCAAGTGTAACAGGCTTGACAAAGTTTTTGGCAGCCTGTTTTTTTTCTTAAAGTTCAGCACATCACTCTAGGGGCCAATTCTGAATTGGCAGAAGCTGGGACTAGATGACCTAATAGGTCTTTTCCATCTCCAGTGCCTGCGAGTCTGTGTTTTATTATATTTCATATGGCTCAGCTATTGCTCATTTATGCATCTGTTCCAGGATTTATCCCTCCCAGCTTTTTCTGTGGTCAAATTCTTATCTGACAGAAGATGCTTAGTGACACCAGAGTGCTGTCGTCGTCAAGGCTCATCCTTTCTGTCATGTTATTTCTGCTCAACACACTGATTGGTAGATAAAGACAGCCTGGACTAAGACCTACTGTTACACCAGCAGAATTGAACAGGCTTTTACAGATAGGGAAATGGAAGCCCATATTTTCTGGATTTCTTGGACTTACTCCTGGAAATCCAGATGCTGCAAGTGGAAAAATGGTCACTGTTGAGCACCCCAGTAACCTTAACCCTGCCCTCAGAGTGAACTTCTTCAGGGTTTTTTTCCAAGAACTTCATATTGATTTAAATTCATTCTCACATGACTGAAATATGTTGTTTATTAGTTTTTAAAAGCCTTATTTCTGAACAATTCTGGCTACAAAAAACAGGTATCTGAACAATCTGACAAAGTTCTAGGCACATGTAGCAATATCGTGGGTAATAAGGCTTGTGATATAAAAATTGACTGGGCTGTTTCATTAAAAAGAATTGAAAAGAGAGAAGAAATGTGAAAGATCCTTCAAGTTTGATTGTGGACTGTAATTCAGTGGGATAAGGAGCACCAGCCAAGGCTGTGCTCACCCCACCTCTGCTACAGAGTGCTGAGTTAAATTCTGCCAGGGCAGATTTGGCATGGGCAGGAGAAAGACAGATGTAATGTCTGATCAGAAGCTGCCTTTCTCTCTTTTCTATAATCCACCACTTTGAGAAGGGAATGTATCATACTGGGCTTTAGCCAAAAACTTGATGGGGTTTTTGGTTGAAGTCTGTTTTCTCCCAGGAAGCGCAGCTAACTGTGGTCCCTTGCTGGACCGAAAACCAGAGTGAATCAGAATGTGGCCTGGTGCTGGAGCCCGCCCTGGCATTCAGCTCTTTCCTCTCAACCAGTCCAGCCTGTGTTTCTGGGTTTTCTGGTCAGAATTCATGGTCAGGAGATTAATTACAAAAGGGTTTGGATTTAGTGATCGCTGCTTGTAAATAAATGATTCAGATGTGCAGATTCTGGGTTCTCCTCTGCCCCCTCTAGAAATTTTCCTTTTGTATTTTTCCTTTATACAGATTGATAAAGTTGTACAGTTCAAGGGGACAATGATTCCCTTCGTTGTCAATGGAATATGTAGGTCTTCTGTTATCATTGAAATACAACAAATATAAAATACAACAAAAATATGTAGGGCAACAATGCTGGTGAAAGGTCTAGAGCACAGATCTTGCAAGGAATGGCTGACAACCACTTTCATATTAACTTCCCAACAGAAGGGGCAGCAAGTAGAAAGATTTTCTGCCCATAATATTATTTTTTAACAAGCCTCAGTTGAGTTTTTCTTAGGTTCAAAGGGAGGAGCTGCTGACTGTTCACTGTTACTTCCAGTGAGCCTGTTCTCTGTGGAGGTTGGACCTTCATCAGTGTTGGCTTTTATGTCACTTTATTTTTACAAACTTCTCAACTTTTTAAAGAAGCTGTGCTTGAGTTGAGTGGAGTGTGGAAGGAAGTGGTTTTGTTTTTCCTCTGATTTCCTAAACCACTACTCCCAGTGTAGATGTGGGCTCTAGCATGTGGTTCATAGGTTTGCCTTTATCTCCACGATCCCTCCAATTACTCTGGTTCCCACTCCATCACCATTTTCTTAGTGAAATGGTAAGAACTATACACCTTGGACTTACTCTGATTCCCTCTTCATCACCATTTTCTGAGTGAAATGGTCAGAACTGCGTGCCTCAAATTTTGGGGGAAATTTGCTGCTGAAATGGCCACCTAACCCTCAATGGGGAAGTGATGTCAGTCCCAGAATAGCAATAATGAGGGAAATGATCAAAATATTCACACTGCTCTAACATTTCCCATTCTTCACTTTCTAATCCTTTACATTTATATGAAATATAAATGAAAATCACACTGAAGTTTCTTCTGAGGGCTTATTTGATTTTATATAATTTTAGGAAATCTCTTTTCCTAAATGAGTTTACCAGCTACTGTGTTTCACTTAGTATTTGCTGTTAAAAGCAAAGAAGCCCAACCACTTGGTGCTGGGATAAAGGGAAGTCTGTGTGATGGGAAGGAAAATACAACCAGCTAATTCTGGGAGATGTGGAGTTTCACTTCACAATTTTATTTTCTTTCATCTGGTTTGATTTCACATCCTTATCTTGATAATCAACCTCAAGACACAGGAGACCAAGGGACTTTCAAAACCATCTCCAATTCACCGTAATTAACAACAACAAATTTTTTGAGAAATAAAAGAACATTAAAGAAGTACAATAAGGAAATACATTAGGCAAAAGAGAAATACAAGATGTACTTTTAAGCTCATGCAGAGCATTTTGTCACAGTGTGGCTATGTCAGGACAGCTTCAGATTCTTTTTTCTCCATCTCTGGCTTTTAGGATTGCCATTAGTGTCCATATTTCCTTTTTCAACTCTAAGTTTATGTGGTAGATTTTTTTTTTTGTAATTATTTCTAGCTTTCATATGTTACATGTTTATAGTACATGTAGAGCTTACCAACTCTTGGACTATAATTCAAAATAATTACTGAAGTGTTGATAAAGGTTGAGAAGATGACATTAAATACTTAAGCTGAAGGATATATATCTCCATATACAAAGCAAAGAGGCTATCAGGAGTCCAGAGAGGACTTTGGAAAGACTTCAGAGTCTTCATGTTGCAGGCAGGGTGCCTTTTCTGCTCCAGAGAGGGCAGCTGAAGAGAAGAATTTTCTTGTTGCCTTTTTCAGATGATGTGCTGAAGGACCAATTAAAGTAGAATTGAGGAGGAAACAGATTTTTTTTTGATGTTAAAGAAAAATTAAGAAAGCAAAACCTTTCTGAAGGTTTGCATGCTAATTTGGGGTAGGAAAAGGTACTAATGGAGACAGAATATTCAGCCCTTTGCCTGCCTGACGCAGACGTGGGACTGGGGTCTCACTGCAGCTGCTGCACTTCAATTGATTAAATCACTTTATGAGAATTGATTAAATCACTTTATTTATAAGATCAAATCTGTGATCCCCATGAGTGGCTGAGAACATGACTGGTCTTTCACCAGACATATCTGAGGTCAACATGGACTTTTTGCTCTCAATGTCTTTGATGAGGCTTGTGGGATGCTATGAAGCTCATGGAATGTTTTAGGGCACAATTCAGAATTATTTTTTTTTATAGTTTATCAAGTGTTGCTTAAAATAAGACTATTTTTTCCCTTTCTGGGATGCTTGTGCTCTACAACATCAGTTCTTTCAGTCAGCTTTTGC